CTATATTCCACGATTGTTTCAAAAATTTTGAACCTAACTTCGAAAATCAATATTTATACAGAAGATATAGAAAAATATTTGGATCCTAACCCATACTTGGGATTTGCATTTGAAAATTCTTGTCGTGAAGCAGGGTTAAGCGATGATATAAAAACTATGATTAAATCACGTTGTGTTTCCTTTTTGGTTCAATTATCTATTCAATTGAAAAATCGATTGCCAGGCAATCTTCAAATATTGGAGAAAATGAATAGATTTTCAATTGAAGAATGTTTAAAGCCAAATAAAGTACCCATTACTGAAATTGCATTAGAGTTTCTTAAAGATCCTATAATATTAACAAATATTGAAAAACAGTGGAGTAGGCTACATACTATACCCTGGCTGGAGAAAACTAATACAGAAAATTTTTGGGGAGAGGTAAATGATTACAAAGATGCATCTGGGGAAAATGGATTTAAAGTTCTTGTAAATTTAGCTCTAAGACTATTATGTTTACCACACTCCAACGCTGACGTTGAACGTGTATTTAGTATTATGAATGTGATTAAATCTAAAACAAGAAACAGGATGAAATTGCCATTATTAAATAATCTTTTATATATTAGATTTGGCCTTAAACGGTTACAGTTGTGCTGTAAGGACTACCTCCTCCCTGACAATGTTTTAAGACAAATAGGTACCAAAAAATTATACAATGAGACTGATGAATCAATAGATGATTTAATTGAATATATTGGTACAATCTAAATCCTTTTACAGTTTAAACTGTAAAAGGATTTAGATAGTACTAATTATTAATTATTCTGTATGCCTGTAGCTTTAAAAATTATTTTTTTGTTATTTTTATGTTATTAGAAAATTTTTATTATATGAAAAGGCATTAAAGCCTCATATTACAAAGTTGTGTTTTTTTATTTTAAATAAACTGTTTTATAATTTTTGCATTTTGTGTACATACAAACCTCTTTATTTTTGCCCATTAAGAGTATTGGAGATTTTTTTTGGCAAAGTTGAAGAATTCTGGAGAATTTTCGTTTAGGTTTTTGAGAATTTTAACATTTTACTGTTGGCAACACTGATTAAAATCGGTCCAGCCGTTTAGAGGGAGTTCAGTGACATGCATAGTGCACACGTATACGAAGAATACAGAAGAATCATATATATATATATATATATATATACCTAAAGATAAAAAACTACTCTTTTATTTCTTACACATAACAATGGTTGTAATCCCGGTGCATTCGCCATTTTTGTTTTAATTTAGGTAATCCACTAAATAACAGTATTTTATGTATCAAGTTTGATAAACGCCATTTTAATTACAAATTTGAATTAGGCACAAGCGAAATTTCAGGTGTATACACCCACCGTGGAGTGCCCATAAAACATTGTATTCACTTTCACTGAAAAACGACTTCTATATCGGATTTAAACGGTGGTTAGTCCATTTTTAAGGGACACATTTTGATTTACACATAAAAATTTGACATTTTTACTGGCGCCAGTAATACAGTTCCCAAGAATGGTTACTTTATTGTTTTATGAATGTCGCTCTATACAAATATTTAATTTAAATTATTTTAAGATATTTTAGGATAAGTATTTGTAGTAGAAAAAGTATGCAACTCGTTTATAAATTTTTCTAGGCACTCATTTAATTAAACACTCGCTCGCAAGCTAGCTCGTGCCTAATTTAAATTCGTGACTAAAATGGCATTTATCAAACTTAATACATAAAATACTATTATGGAGTGTGCTAGTTACGTCCTGTTATATTGAACGCTTATTCTCTTGATTTAAGAATTAACGGATAAGTTTTTGAAAACTTGAAGCAATATTTTGTGTCATGCAAATAGTCGTTTGATAAATAAAATATTTATTATTTTCGATGTAATTTTAGAGTTCCTACACTGAAAAAAATAAGCTGTTGAAACAACAACAAAAATATGAATTCAACTCTTTATGCACTAAATACAAGCAATGGTTTTTGCACATTTACTTAACTATCTAAAAATATCAAATTGTATTGTTTAATTGAACAACAAATAACAGTCAAATGAACAAAATGAGACTATTTGTTCTAATCCGCTACTCTGGTTAATTTAACATTCTTGATATGTCGGAGTAATATTTCGAAAATGGTTGGGCTAACGTTCTTAAGATGTTAAGGTAAATTTCTTGAAATGTCCAGGTAACCTTTTTAGAATATTCACTTAAAACCAATAAAATGTTAAATTAAAATAATTTAGAATTTGCGATAATGTTCACCTCGCCAGAGTTTTGGTTTTGAGTGCGTTCCACCTACAGTGGGTGACCTACTTCAAATATCGACAGAAAGCTGTTTCGACCTATATGTCGGGCAATTTAGTGTAGTGGAACACACCCAAATAAAACGGCTACCTGAGCTTATACTCGTATACTCCTATGGTAAGCCAACTGAGGCGAGATGTAAGAACATCCCGTGATCCACACCGTCCAATGACGTAGCGTGGCCACGCGTGGGTATTCGAAGCGCCCTTTACGGCAATATTATAAATGCAAATTTAACAACTTAAATTTTAAAGTAACATTTACAATTTGTTAAATGAACAAATTTAATATTTTGAATTAAAGAGCAACTAAACGTTAATTTAATAGTTTTTTTTAGGTAATCCTAAAAATATTAGTATTTGATTCAACCAATTCCTAGCTATTAAATCAAAATATTATAAAGATTTAATTCAAAAAAATTGTTTATTTTAAATCAATATTTTAACTGTCAAATAAACAAATAATCTTTGACAAACTCTGACTATTGCTTTGACACCAAAATATATTTACCTAAAAAAACTATTAAATTAACGATTAGTTATAGTTATAGTTCAAAGGCAAACATTAACCCAACTACATTATTTTTTTCGGTGTATAATGATTTTTTTGTTCAGTAAAAATTTTAAATTTATTATAATTATTATTATTACTAATAACTTTTTAATTTTTAATTACATGCTTTATTGTCCAACAGATTCAGCCATTTACAGAGCAATTGTAATGTAACTAAAACTACATAGCACCTATATTTATTGATTTTATAATGTATTAAATTTTAAATAAAATAATTTAAATGTATTATTTAAATAGGTACCTAAAGTTACGTGCCTAAAATAATAAGCCTATTTTATAACTATGTACCTTTTTTGACCGGGCCTTTCTTATTATAATAATAATTTGCGCCTCTGTGCATTTTTCGATACAAAAAATGTAAAAACTTTTTGTTTGTTTTTTATATTAATGAATATTAATATTTATACATTGTTAATATTACTATTTATACATTATCTAAAAAGAGTAAAAAGCGTGTTTATATTATAGCCGAGATCAGTGTTTACTGCTAAGGCGCCAGCCGGGCAAGGACTTTTATATGCTTTTTCGCCGTGTAATTTTTTCTCAGGCATTTAATAATTCTGTACTCACAGTGTAATTCTTGAGTTTGTGACATTTTGTCATAGGTAAATAATGTTGACGTTTGACATATGTTATGTAAATGAATTTATTATATAGTGACCTGTACGTTTTCAGTTACCTACACTGATTTCAAGCCAAATGCGATGCGATGGAACCAAGCTTTCTTTGTAATTTTAATGTATTTGCATTTTTATATGACAGTGTATAATAATTTGACTTTTAAACTGCGTTTAAATAAGTCATATAGGCTTACGAGTGTTGTAGGAAAATTGTATACGCTTGGAAAAAATAGCATCATTAGCTACATTGTTTTATATCATTGCAAAATATTGTATGTAGCTTGTTTCCAGTTTAAAGCATTTAAAATTGAAGGAACTAAGGATATTTAAAAAAAACTTTCACAGACGCAAATTTTTTAACGCATAAAATTTTGCGTCACCCACAATTAAGCTTAACAAAATCTTTATTAATTAAATTAAACAGTATACAGGGTGGTCCAAAAGGAACCTCAATAAAAAACGTTAAAATGTTATTAATTTTCTTAATTAACTTATATCGAAAACTCAACATCTTGATGTTGTTGTTGCATATATTAAAAAAAAAAAATTCTTAAACTTAAAGTATTGTTTTTTCATTAGGTACCTACCTACCATGGTTATAATTATTTTAAGAGAAAATAAGGTAAGCCAAAGAGTATAAGTATGAGTATAAGAACGTATGGCAGGCCCCATCGGCCAGGTCCGTACCGAGGCACACTTTTTGGGGGGGTGGAGACGATAAAAAACCAACTTATTTTTTTATATATATTAAGTAAAAAAAGTATACGGTATAAATATAAAAAATGCAACCTACTAGGTAGGTAAATCTAAAAAAATTAAAACAAAATACAAATTTAAGCTACTACGTTAAACATAAAAAAAATTCAAAAAATATACTTAAAAAATAGGAACGAAATCATTTTATTTTAAAAAAATATATAAACAAAAACATATAATACCTATTGAAGGACTCTTTATAACAAATTAGTACTCTGAGAATGTACTCACTTCCTTTCAACCCTCAGTATCCTATTTTTTAATTAAATTTTATCCCAAGAGTCGATCGCAGTTGATAATTCTATGTTAGGTATATGTTATATCGCGTTCGCTTTTCAGGCTCATTAACGAATCTAACCGATCGATCGCGTAACGTAACGTAACGTGTTTTTTAAATAATTTAAAGTGCTAAATTTACGCTCGTTTGTTGCAACGGAATATGCGGCGGTGTAGATAAGTTGGCAAAAAAGAAATTATTTTTGTTCAATGGCAATTTTTATCACCTATTCCATAGAAGCCGCCTTTTTCTCTATACAAATATCAAAAAATACCTCTAGTTCACCCTGTAAACTACCTGGATCGGGTTTATTGGAATGATATAATAACACCGCCGCTTCAATATTTTTAATGTCCATAATAGCTGTTTTGGACAATGGGAAAGAAAATATGTCTTTTAAAGGTTGTAGAATTTTTAGGACTTCAGATAATTTTTTTACAAAAAACTGATTAGAACATCTAAAACTTGAAAGAATTCGTGACGATTAAATTCGTTTGTATCCATGAGCGCTTCATTTTCATTTTGTTGGTCCAACCTTTTTGGAATAACTTTCCGTCGATGATGCCTTCTAAATCTTCGTCTGCGTTGACATGTAATGATGCAGAAAATTTTTTGGAGGCTTCAATTAGGTTATTTACTTCATCGGGACTTGATCTTATAGTTTGCAGGGTATTTTTGGTACTATTTATAATTGAAAATGCATCAATAACATTTAAATTGTTGGATTCTAAAATTTCGGAAACAACCTTCATCTTTATAAAAAATAAACACAAATAAAATCAAATTTTAAAATGCGTTTAAAAAGGCCATATGCTTTTCCTTTAGTACTACTGTCGATGTTGATATTTGTGGAAATATTTTCAAAAAGTTGTATCGATACTTTAGTAGTAATAGTAAAAATTTTCAGTATATTTATCATGTAGGTAAAGTGCTGTAAAGCGTAGATACAGAATGTCTTTACCTACCATTAGCTTGCTCTTTCGAAGTCGATGGGATTGATTCTCTTTCTCTTTTTTTGACTTGCTGCCAATGTAAATGGATTTTCCGGAATAGCAACACGTTTAATTTTAACCAAATTTTCACCGTGAATATTTTTCTCATGCATTTTTTTATAGTCCTTGTTAAACACAGATCAATATAATGAGCATTTTACTAGAACTCGGCCCGGTCTAGCTTTCTTTTCCATATTAAAAAAACAAATTTATTCCTATTTATTGACACTAGTTTTACTTAGCTTAGATAAGCTTCTAGAAAAATAATATAATATTAATAATAATAATAATATTTATTTACGGTAAATAACCATTACAAATTACAAATATATATAGGAAACATACATATTATATAAATCAATTTACAAAATCACAGAGGTTATATGGAAGATTTAAATTTAAATAAACTATTATTAAAGAAATCTAGGTATATCTATCTTATTTGCCAATCTACACATTCTGTTGACAGGTGAATTAAAGCCATAGTTTGTGGAGTGCGTGACTTCCCGGAACAGATAATTATCATTATAATGATTCCTTACGCGCCTTTGAGGAACATGGAACTGAAGTAAACTGAGTATATATAATAATAATCTAGAAAAATAAGACGCCGAAAATTGCGGTGCGTAAAAAGAATCAAACGCCGCCAAAGCCAAAGACAAATACAATACAATTTTCTTGACTAACGATTATAGTAGTTTTGTAATATGTTTAGTTTAAAATTTATATTTTATTTTATTTATTGTGATGGGTTGGTTGGTAGTGTAGGTTATACCCAACTAACCGACCCAAATACTATAGATTGTTCCAACCGTGTTTGGATTTGGAACCAACTGCCTAGACTTTGGTGGGTGACTCCCCCCCTACACCCCCCTTAGGCTGTTTCCATACGCCATTTTTTTATTTTGTATCTCACGAGCTCGCTTATTAGATTCTATAAAAAAAATTATCTAAATAATTAATTTTTAGGCCATCAACATAATCCAATTTTGTTTCTCGAGTTTAAATTTTTTGAAATAATCTATGGGAAATACCACTTCTGCACAAGTGTTATTATCTATATACTCTATCTATAGATTCTTTCAAAAATTTGTCTTTAAACTGAGGAACCAAAGAGGATCATTGTAAAGGCTTAAACATTAATTATTATTATTAAATTCCAAAAACAATTTTTTTAAACTTTTTAAAATTCAAATATTCCTTTTTGATCGCCCTGTACATTAATTTGTAGACTTTGTTAAATAACAGGTTGATTATTATTTTATATTAATTAAAATAATCCTCTGCGGTACTGGGATAGTTTACTTAAACATTATAATAATAAAAATAATTGATATTTATTTGAAATATACCTTCCTGCAATTTTATTAGATAATCGTATTTAATTATAATAAAGGCAAAAACTAATAACTCTTTGAAGGCAGATCTATCCGAATGCGTCGCACTAAAGGAATGTAGGTACTAAGATACCATAGGCATTTCGATTTTTACAATCTCTTTGAAAACAATTCTGTGCAGTTGTGGTGAATCGTGTAATGGTTATCATTAAAGATCCAATGAAAATAACAGTTTTACTTACAATAAAATAAATTAACTTAGATAATTATCTAGTAGATTTTATAAATTTAATTAAATTGCTATGAAATATTAAGAGTATTACTTATATTTTATTAAGAGAATTACTGTTTTATATTTTAAAGTATATAGACATACATAAATGTAAATGTATTGTTTTGATCCGAAAATATGTAAAAAAAAAATAATTTATAATTATTAGAGACCGGATTCTAGACAAAATGCGTATCATCAATTTTGATGGACCGTTAAGAGTTATTAGTGCAAAATTTGTTACTAAATCTTGCCTAAGATGCATAAATGCTTGTCTAAAATAGGAAAAATAATTCCTTTTGGTACCTTTATTTTTTAAATGACAGTTTGTTTTAAAGTAAGCTAAGTCGCAACACACCCCCTAAAAATGAATTAGTCAAAAATGACTAATTTAATAGTTATTAGTGGCTGCTTTTTCACTTGTACCATGGTTAACCATGAAATACCATGGTATCCCAAAATTTAACAGCCAATTCTTATGTAAAATTGTCCCCTGAATCCGAAAATAAGTAGAACGGTTTTTGAGATATAGTCAATTTTCCATTTAATATGGAATTGACTATATCTCAAAAACTGCTCCACTTTCATAATTTGACGGTATTTTCGGATTCAGGGGACAATTTTACATAAGAATTAGCTGTACAATTTTGGGATACCAGGGTATTCCATGGTTAACCATGGTACATGTGAAAAAGCAGCCACTAATAATTATTAAATTAGTCATTTTTGACTAATTCATTTTTAGAGAGCACTTTAGTGTGCAGATTCACCGAAGCGCCAACTATCGCTCAGAATTTATCAGCTCGCACTCACCAAAATAAAAATTATAAAACCGATTTGATCACCTAACAACCTAGATTAACTGTATGTTTTTTTTAACGGAGCAATGGTGCGATTCTATGATCAGAGCAATGGCGTCGTCGTTCTTTTTCATCTTACAAAAATATTTTATCGGATAAACGACATAATTTAACAAAAGAAAATGTCAAAAAAACTATTATTTGTTACTTTAATGGCAAGTAAATCACAAAACCATCAAAAATGCATTGATTATTGTTAAATTGTTTTTTATAAATTTAAATTATTTAAGTTGTGTTAACACTATTTTTTTATTTATTTTTTATGTATTTTTTTTCTTATGAAAATTGTTTTGGTATGTGTAAAAAGTGCGTGTACTGAGATTGAAGACAATTTGATTATTTTTTGAGGTGCCCCAAGTAATAATAAGAATTAGTAGTAAAGTATTTATCTAATTTTAATAATGGCCATATGCAAAGATAATATACCCATTATCTTTGGCCGCATGCATGCACTAAACTTTTTAATATATTACTAGTTGAATGCAACACTGTATGTCTGCAAATTTAAATCGCTTAAAGTTAATAAATAAAGTGTATAAATTGTTGGGATACGAAGAACTAACACTTTGACTCGTAAGATCGTTTATTGTAAATAAGTTTTACATAATAATTAAATAATAAATATTCGAGAAGTTAAATCTTAAGTTAAGTGAGTGAAAAGTAAATAGTAAGTGTTCTTTTGGTTTCTAAAAATGAGCTTTTATACAGCGCGATAATTTTTATCAGTTAATGGAAAAATAGAAGCGCTGTCTTTGAAATTATGAAATATCTAATGATGCGTAATAATTACTTGAACTATTTGAACTTTTTATTAATTTAATTTATGGACTTATTTTTTGTAACCCTAAAGATCACGACTAAAAGATTATTTAATATACATTAGAAAAACAAACTGTTACCAAATAAATATACAGGGTCTAACAAACCTCCCCCGTTAAGTGTTTCGATAAGGGTTAAAAATCCTATTGAAACACTAAATGGTTAAATTATACAATCTAAAACTTATAAAACACTAAGTAAACTACAAATATAAAATTAAAATTTAAAGTGTACAATATATAAAATAAAAATTAAAATATAATTGTTGTTATTATAAAACCTAAACAAAACTATAATTATGAAATTAGTGTACAAAATATAAAATAAAAATTAAAATAAAATAAAATAGTGGTAATTATATACCTAAACAAAACTAAAATTATGAAATTAAATTTTAAAAGATTTCTTCGAAAGACGAGGCTTACGCATCTCCGTGTAGACAGGTTCTAAGTCCTCCATGGGCATTGCATCTGCTTCGGAGTTGAGACTACGATAGCTTCTTCTGTGAGGTGGAAAATCATCCAGGTTGACTCGGTTATCGGATACAGTATTGTGGCTGTTGATACAAACCAGGTGACGGCATTGGTCGGGGTTGAAATATTTCTTTATTGAGTTTAGAAATCTGCAACGACAACATCGGCAACAAACATAGTAGCATATTATTAGCATTACTAATGTTCCAATTATTCCAAAGAAGATGTTGTACCATTTGGAATGGTTGATAATGAATGGTTGGTTTATATTTTTCTGTAGGACGTCGTCGAACTGTTGGAGTTTATGTTGGGCATGACTCAGTTCATTGAGGTTGAGGCTGTGGAGTTTGATTGAAGACATTTCTTCATTTTTAAGGTAGGATTGCTCCTTGATACAGCAATCGTCTTTATTGATGTCCAGCATAGGTATAAAATTTGTATAATTTGACGTTTGGTTAGAGGTTGAAGTCAATAACGTGGAGGTAGTGTAGCATTTACATTTTGATTGTAATGTAAAAATACCGGAGCCTTGAAGTACAACGTCTGTGATTTGTGAAGCACCATAATTTTCGCAGCTTATGGTCCCAGTGACTGGTTGTGTTAAGATGTATAGCCATTGATTTGTTGAGAGGGGATGCCAAACTTCGATTTCTGACTTCATGGTTTTGGTGTCGCAGTTTGATGGGATTTTTTCAGGTTTTTGAAGTTTCAGAATCGTTTCGCAGGTTGGTCTTTCCTTGATTAGATGTATGATGATGTTGGAACAAATGTACTCGGATGGTGATATCTTCTGGCATTTCGATAATTCTGACATCTCTCCATAATACGTTCTTGTCGTACTTAGGATAAGGTAAGGGAAAGAAGGGTTTATATAGGAGTATATTGAAGAGTTTTGATATTGGACAGGTAAGGGAATCAAATTATATAGTTGATACAAATCTTTAGTTACTAGTGGTACCTTAATTGCATAAATTAAAACTTTATTTGTGTAAACTACTGA